ATGTTACAAAATATCAATACAGTTTTTGAATGCTTCTACGCTGTTGTTCTCGAAATCGAGTAGATTTATATTGATATCACCTCCACATATTATTTCATTGCAGAGAGGAACTATTTCTGCCAGATTTCCCTCGAAATTATTCAGAAAGTCAATGTAATTTTTATTAGGCGGCCTGTAGAATGTACCGAAAACATATTTGACATTATTAAGACTAAAACTCACCCATAGCTGTTCCACAGCTTCACATATATCAACTTCCACAGTTTCGAAATTGATAAAGGATTTGATATATATTCCAACTCCACCTCCTCTCGAACCTCTATCTTTCCTAATAAAATTATAACCATCTATATGTACTAAATAATCAGGAGTATCTTCAGTCAACCAGGTCTCACCAACCCCCAAAACATCATAGCTCCCAAGGGAAACGAAAGTCTTAAAATCTGCAAAGTTTGAAATCAGAGATCTTACGTTGAAAAATGAAAATGAAAATTTCTTCATGAATAATTGCCACAAATATTTCCGCTATATGTTCAAGACAAAAATATGTGATATAAAATGTGCTGTAAATAGAAGAGATCACAGGTCCCCCAAAATACCAATGACTAATAATATGCAAAAAAAGTAAATCATTATAAACATCAGTGATAATTAATAGAACACAAAAAGTTTTGTAGAAAAACATTATCTCCAGACGACAATAAAAGAAAGTTGAGGCAGGCACAGAAGACAGGTAGCGATGTTTAGAATAAAACAATCTTGATTCATTGACACTGTTGCCAAGTCAACTTAATTTTAGTATGATCAAGAAGTAGTAATTAACGTTTCACGTTTTTTATCGAACAATTCGAGAGAGCCCAAATTAATTATTCTTGTGAGTAAAATAATGCTGCTATATGGATAAGAATAAAAATAGAAATATAGTAGGTAATAATGAAAATTCATAATGTATTCTTAAAAAAATTCCTGCGTGATCCTACTGTAGTAGTTCAGTTCTTTGTTCTTCATTCTCCCACAATGTTCCTATGATTCAAAACAGTTTTCTTATTATTTACGATGGCAAAAATTCTTCCACTTTGGCTCCACACATTGGTCTTGCCAAATTTTTCGGAAGCTGACTTCCACATTTCCACTGCTGATTTTGTTAGGTCCTCTTTCATGAAATAGTTAGAGTTTCGAAGCATTTTCTTCTTGTTGAAAATATGATTCTTGGTTTTTATCGATAGAAACTGCACAAGAATTGGGCGAGGCTTGCCGTTTTGAACTTTGCCAATTCTGTAGCACTGCTCTATTTCGGAGGAGGAAATTTCGTGTTCCAGCTTCTCCTTGAAGAAGTTTATCATTTTGTTCTCACAAATTTCAGGTGTTTCATTAGCGGCTTGTTGTTCTCCATATATGATGAGGTTTTTCATTTTGTACATACGTTCACAGTGTTCCATTTTTGTTTCCAAAATTTGAATTTTGGATTTGTTTTCACAAACTTGGTCGAAAATAGATTTTAGAGACGATTCGAATTGTTTGAATCTGTCTTCTATTTGCTTTCCAATCATACCTGCTTGTTGCTTGCAAATTTTTGCAATCATCTCCTCAGATAAACCACCTTCTGAAGAACTTTGCGACTGCTGTCTCGTTTTCGACATATTCCCTGTAGTACAATGAAACACTGAACAAAACAAGTGACAACAATGCGTATATCACTGCTTCCGTAGGTAGTACGAGGTACCTTAACCTCAATTATTGTTCTCACTTTCAAGTACTTGATGTACAACTTGACCGAAATTAACTAATTGTGAAGAATTTGTGTTCGATTGCCGAAAAACTATCTTAGTCTCACAATACTGGTTGTTTGTAGTCAGAAAATACCGTATTTTCGATTAAACTTTCAATTATTTTGGGAGCGCTGCATAAACGTGCCTACTCACACGCCAGCGTTGCCAACTCTCAACCTCGTGATCTGATTCCTCTTGATCAAATGGATCATCTTCAGATTCAACTTCTTCCCACAGCCGTAATAATCTCTGTTGATCGTTTTCATAATCCATTTTCCGCTAGAAATAATCGAGGACGATAAATATCCACCACAGATCATTTTATTCAATATATTACTCACTCAGTATCGAACAAATATCTGGAACACAACGAGTCGCGCGGAGTCTGAGAGGCTCCAGATCAATATTCCAGCGAAACAGAAAACGCAACCTTCTCCAATTGCATACCACATCGAAGTGAACACTAATCGAGGAAGATACATGGACGCGCGACGATCGAAACCGAGAGATGCGGGAATAATCGAATACTTCCGATGCCTAGAGTCTGTCAGACTCCGCGCGACTACTGCAGGGTTAAAGACACTAATTCATTGCCCAAACAAAAAAAATCTTATCTTGAATTCTGAAAATATATTAATACTAAAGGAATACTGAGAGCTCGCAAGTCAATATTTTAACTATCAAGATTATGAGTGATTGCAAAAAATTGTTCGGAATTGCATCCGAATTCTGAAAATCAAAAATCAAAAGTTATAAATAAAAATTACTGAGCCTACACGTTTGTCAGATATTTCTCAACCTGTTTTTCCAAATGTACCTATTTTTATCTACAGAATTCACGAAATAATCTTCTCAATTTTTGCTGTGCTATTTTTTCACGGGTTAGTTGAACTGTGGGGGTTACAGGGCGTACTGGCATTTGTTCAGTGGCGTAGAATGTATAGTTAGTTTCAAAAGTTTGAAATAAACGTGATTTTTGGGTTTTTTCCAAGTCTAGTTTCATTTCTCTTGCCTTAGTCAATAAATATTATCGACGATTGTTACGAGCCATTCGAAGAAATTTTAGGGGAAGTGAATAGAAAATCTATGACTGCTCGATCAGAGTGAGCTGAAAGTGGACAGTTATCCTCCAATTAGGTAATCATTGACTCATTTATGATACACAACCCCAAGCTGATACTGACGAGACAGGTATTGGAATGTATGTACCATTAACAAATCAGTAGGTTTGATTCAGGATGGCTCTAATTGTACAGAATTCTCAAAATATGTTATTGGTAATCGCTCAAAAGCTGGTACTGGCGATACAGGTATTCTTCACGATTAGACAATATCAATGATATCTTTCCAAGCTGAAGTAAGACAGGTATTGGGCATAATCATTCATAACTCAAGAATTGTGACGTGGTGAGAAAAAATAGATAAAATGAAATGTCAAAATTGAAAATAAAAAGTTGAATTTATGCATGTTCATTACTGAATATTGTCAAGGACGCCCTGTATCTTTGAAAAGAGTAAAAAATCAGAATAATTAGGTACACTTGAATGCTCTGTTAATAAGGGTTGATAGTGCGCAAACAACCTAAAATATATATACCAATAAAAACGAGAGAAAAAAATTTGGTTGTGCTCCATTTTGGTTGAAAAAAATTCCTAACGTAATATGATATGAGTTTCTCAAATACCCTACTCAATAAGAAAAATTGCTTTATATAACTTACTTATCTAAAACGAAAATTAAAATATTTACTGTTTCCCAGAAACTTCGTAGAATCACACCCCGTAAAATGAAATGAAATACACAAAATATCACCAGAGAATATTATTTTGCCTTTCAAGTTATGCATCAATGGATAAAAAAAAAGAAAATTAGTTATTTAGAAAATTCAAGAGAATGTATGGTCTGATGATAGGGAGAAAGTTGAGTTGAAAGTAAATTGAAAGCAAGTATTAACAAAGTAATTATTGAAATAGATCATTGAATTTACGAAAACTTACTATTTTGAAATGAATCGTGGTTGGATGGGTGTAATAGCTTTATAAAACACAAAATTGACTGGAATTACGAAAATTGATCACAAATCAGAACGAACTTAATAGATTAACTATGAAGAGTTAATCTGTAGGAAAGAGCAAGGCGCCTCCACCACGTGTCGCAACTCAGATGGTTTTGGTAGATTATTTGGCAAACGGCGTGTCCACCACATGTCGCAACTCAGATGTCGCCCTCCTATGGATCGTAACTTGGCTACTCGCTTGGCTTGATGAGAGGATTTCGATCATTTCACCACCCAACCATATTCATCCCCAAATGAAGAGTCAAGATAGTTTTCGTATAAAATTAACATTTATTGATTTAATGGGAAAGTCGTGAATAAATGCTTTCCACATGGCAAAGTAGCAGAGACAAACCATAGTAAATTACCAAACGGAACACAACACAAAACAACAATTCAGATAGAACATGGAAAAACAGTACTTACATTATGACATCTACCATGGGGTTGACCAGCAGGATCAAAGTCGGGAGGACGGTACACTTTTTGGCAGCAACTCGTGAATTATTGACTCAATTACGGAATAACGTAAAGTGTTATCGAAATGCATTATAATAGAAATGAATTAGTAATCAGTTATCAGTAATGAATAATCAGTAATTGAGAAATGGATGATCAATAATAATCAAAAATCAGTAATGAATGGCTTATCGATTCGGAATCTATTTATATTTGGAATCGATGCTAACATTGCAATTTTCCGCAATGGCAATGCTCGATACCGGGCGTATAGCTTAGCCCGCATCGCAAGCTAAGCGTTTCCATGCAAATTTTACCGAAACAAGAGTCTATGAACTACGCTTTGACTTGATCGAAACGTTGTACTAGATGTTTAAATTTGGAAAAGTTAATTTATGAATAAAGATCTATAAATGAACGAAAGTTTGAGTGATGTTATTCCATAGACATTTGTACTTCTTGACAATATCGTACATACTAAATCATAAACGTTTATATTACGAGTAGTATAAAATATCGTAATAACATAAGAATGATGTAAACAAAATAAGGAGCTTATATATACTGAATATAACAAAGTCATGAACTTCAATTCTAAATATTTCGTTCGAGTGAAAAATATTTTATTTGAGTAAAACCTAATTCGATGTCACTAGTTTAAATTTAAAAAAAACGCAAAATAATGAGGAATATAAAAACAAATATCCATATACATTCATTTATGTTTTCGATTTGAAGAATAACCGTATCTGGCCTTGGCCAGTTTCAACCAGTCCTTCACTGATTCTTCAATCACTTCATCTGTGAGGTCTTGGTCATCCCGTCCTCTGTAGCTATATATTGCAGCTTCTGAAAGGACATTCTTAAAGAAAGAAAGATCTGAAATTCTTTTTAAATTACCCTTAATCACTTTCATCATATTGGTAGTTTTGAAAGGTCTTTTGTCACTTCCAGCCCAATTGAATTTCATCGCCACCTCATTTCTTAAAAGAAATTTGAGCATTCCCATAACAGTATTTCTTACAGAAGCACCACCAATAGCAGCAAACCGTTTTTTCTAAAATGTTGATAGCATGGTTAAGTGGAACAGTAAGTGACATAATTTAAATACTACCATATTATACTCAAATGACAGCTCTTTGTTTAAGAATCTCTCAAGGGCTTTGTATTCCTGCTTATTTGAAACAGGCAAATTATGCGAATTCCCAGGTCTTTCAAGCTGCAAAATATTTACTGAGGCTATGTTTCTTGACATATTGTCAATGCTGATCTTGTGTAGCTATAATAAGTTCCAGTTTTCTGAGGATTAGTTCTGCTAGAGCATCAGGGTCTTCTGACTGACAGTTCAAAACAGATGATGTGATTGAAGAAGTGGGCGTATTACGAGGCATTTGTCTACAGGCATTATTTTGCGACGTTGAGCTTCTCATAGGGGTTTGAGAAACTGATTTCCCTTCTCCTCGTAATTCTATAGATGAATTGAATCTTGGCGCAATTTTGGTAGCATTAACGTCATCACTGAAATCATCTCCTGACGAATCATCCAACTCCCTAAAAATCGAAAGATAGGAATGATTAAATTGCAAAACATAACATGAAACTTACTGTGAAAACCTCTGACGTTTGGCTTCGTTTGGGTGATTATTTTCATCAACCAAATTTGATTTTTTTCTTTGCAACTAGTTTTTCTGTGGATGAGCTATCATTATCCTCATTTCTTCCATTAATTTCTTTCGAAATAATGATAACGGTTCATTTATGTTGCAATCGGTGGATGTTGTAGATTCTTCGATAATTTTTTCAAGGTATTTTGTAGTTGCATCATAATTATCTGGAAAACATATTCAGAATACTAATTTATCATTATTCATTTGATGCTATACTCTCACGGTTGATGGTACCTTAGACGTTTCTGGAAAATGGGAAATACTATTATCTTTATTTTCAGCGCTGCGGCGTTGCCGTTCATATTGGAAAGTAGCAACAACTTTAATATTTTAAATAGGACACCATGTTCATTACTTCATTTTTAGATCCTCTCTGAGAAGCTGGGTCTAGCGAGAATGATTATGGAGATAAAGAGTGTGAAAAAATTGATTTTTTTTTAACTTTAGTGAATTTTAATGGCGAAACTATTCGTTATTGGTCAAAGCGGTTCACATGTCTCTTATCTCAACTTTTGATTCACTATATACTGACATATAATAATAAAAAATACAGGATGGTTCAGAATTCTAAATTCCGAACCATCCTATATCTGTTTCGATTGAATATAACGTACCTAATACAGGGACATGTAACCGTTTTGACCAATAATTAATATGTTCAATACCATTTTTTTTTTATTTAAAAAATTTCGATATTTTATACCTTTGAGTTTGTTGAAATCAGCTCTTTAGTGAGAATCTGAAAATGCGATAATATACAGGATGTCCTATTTAAACCAATCTCTAAAAAACGTCTTAGGTACCATCGACCATGAGACATCCTGTATATGTACCTACCGTTCATATGATGGAGTATGATGATATCATATTTTGGCCAAAGGGGTGAAGGATCCTTTTTTTTGAAGGACTAGTTGTTCTAAATCGACCTGGGGTGTTATTTTGTTCTCCAATAACATATATTGTCATTGACAATCCATGAATACGGTACAATACTGCATTCCTTTTTGGCAAATTCGGTTACGGCCCACATTCTTCATAAGAAGCTACACAGGATCACGAGAAAGGAATTGAAGGATATATGATAGCAGGTATTTTACAATTTATAATGAACATTTAATATTGGAAGTGGATTCTTTGAATAATATTTGAGAAAAACTAAATAATTTTTGTTGTTAAGCAATGAAGCAAAGGGATCAAATAGAACCCATTATTATAAGGAAAAGACACATATTTTGCTGATAAATCGGACGATTTGAAAATAATCTGATCTCCAACTCCTTTTGCATAGTGTATGCCTAACATGGATGATTCTATAGGATCAATGAAGGTATTGCTCAAATGATTGAACAACCTTTCAACAAATTTGTATTCTTTTCCTGTGCATATTATTCATGTTATGGTGCAAATTTGTTCTCCTGTAGATACTACATTGTTTGGAGATTGAACAGAGAATACAATTTTATTATAAATTATTTTATTACATTGAAAATAGTTTTTGTGCTCGTCAAAAATTCCGTAAGGTTCAATTTCACATAAATTTGAATTGGTTTGGCTAGTGACACTATTCTTCATTTCAATAATTCTGTTATGAATCTGCTGTAGAGGTAGGTGTTTGCCACGAATTCCTGATTTTAATTTCAAAGAGAAGCAGCTGAAATTTTCTAGGGGACCCAATTGTTGAACATCATCAGAAAGATGAATAACAGAATGTACGTTGTATACTACATGTTGCGAACCCATTGTCCGGATAGATGATGATCTTCTCGAGCTAGCTCTGGTCTCGGGGTGTAGTTTTTCTGTTATTTGGCTATCAGCCAGGAGCTGATTGCATGTGGGACACAGGTTTATTTACAAAATTGCAAATAGTCCACAATATAATTATTCGGTTTACGCGAACCGGCGTTGGTATTGAACGGAGCAAATACCAAAAATACACTGCGAACAATAATCTTGAGATGATTGTCAAAATTCGAAGAGTTGGGTGAAACTGACAATGATTGTTGAACCGTTCAAGGCAGAATGAATTACCTCTCGGCGGCGATTCTTCTGCACCTGCTAAGCCACTGTTTCTTGCTATCAACACGAAAAATAATCAACAAAAAGTTGGGACTGAATTGAAGTAAATATCCCCTTTTTGTGGAGCCACAACATTCCGCCCCACCAAAATGCACTCTGCGGAATTGCATTTTAACGCACTAAGTAATAATTGGAATTTTCGAGAAACAAAAAAAAAATAATTGAAAAAAATTAAATGACGGGCATACACAAACATCAACGCAGCGTAGCTAGGGATTGCTAATCGTAAATTGGTAAAGGACATAGTTTCACTAGAGGACGTCGAAATGTCCCGCCGGCAGTTTCAACAACGGCCACACGCGCAATATTATCCTGCGAGGAAAATAAACTTTTTATTCTACCTATAGGCCATTGCAGTGGGGAGATATTTTCTTGCTTAATTAATACAAGGATGCCAGGCTCTACAGGAGTGGACAGGTCTGTCCATTTTCCTCTCTGTTGCAGTGTATGCAGATATTCTTTGTGATATCTTTTCCAGAAATCTTGATGCAACCGTTGTATCAACTGCCAGCGGGATAGGCGATTCATGGGCTCAGACGCGTAGTCGGGAGTTGGATTTGCGATCAGTGGCTCCATCGTTAGAAAGTGGCCCGGTGTCAAAACTGAAAGATCATTGGGATCGAAACTAATCGGAGTTAAAGCGCGCGAGTTAAGCACGGATTCAATTAACACGAGTACAGTATATAATTCTTCATACGTCAAAATTTGCTGACCGATCACGCGATACAAATGTGTCTTGACCGACTTTACTCCCGCCTCCCACAGTCCCCCCATATGGGGGCTTCCTGGCGCTAAAAATGACCAAGAAATTTGCTCGTGTTGAGCCGCAGATTTCATAAATTCTATTAACTGTTTATTAGCACCAACAAAGTTGGTTCCGTTATCAGAAGACAACTTTTCGATTTTTCCGCGTCTACCAATAAAGCGTTGAAGAACAGCTAAAAAAGCGTCGGAGGATAAACTACTCACCAATTCAAGGTGAACAGCCTTGACCGCGAAACATACAAATATACATATATAGGCCTTACAGATACGGTTTCCACGATAACGATTCATAGTAATCTGAATGGGCCTGGCAAAATCGACACCACTGTGAATGAACGGCTTTGCTTGTGAAATTCTAGATCGGGGTAAATTGCCCATGCGGGGAATTAGGGGTTTAGGGTTGGTCTTCCAACATTTTAAACATCGAGATAAAACGGAACGAATCGCGCGTTTAGGGGATAGAATACAAAATGACTGTGATAAAAAAAATTGAACGGTAGTCAGCCCAACATGAAGGTATTTTTCATGATAAAAGGTGATGAGTAAATCGGTTAAGCGACTGCAACGCGGCAGTAACATTGGAAATTTTTGTTCATATGTTATTTCCTTGGAATAAGAAAGCAGACCTCCTACACGAGTAATCCCTTGGTCATCAATGAAAGGGTTCAACTTTCGGAATGGCTTTGAAAATACAACCCGTTTCAACTCGCTCGAAAACGAAACCTGCTGGGTAAACTTTACAAAAACCATGAGAGCATTATGTAATTCAAAAGAACTAAGCGAATATATTAGTTTTTCGGCGGGATATCTAGCGTTGTGAATAAATCGTAAGATATACGACATGATGCGTTGCATAATTGAAAACGATGAATATTTATTCAGAAACTGGTGAATGAAGGGTTTGTCTAATTGAATGACAGCGGTTAGCGTTGATTTATTCTGTTCTTCGGGGGGGAGTTCCACATCATCTTCCGTGAAATCGGAGTGTACCCAATGGCTACCATCAGGTTCAGATAAAAAGTGCGGGCCTGCAAACCACCACTGGTTTGACAAAAAGGCAGAGGGTAATAATCCTCGACTTGCCAGGTCTGCAGGATTGTTCTCGGATTTTACATGGTACCAAGATGAAGCCGGTATTTTATTCTGAATATATGAAATTCGGTTAGCCACAAATGTTTTGCGCAGGTGCGGAGAGGTATTTATCCAAACCAGAACAATTTTGGAGTCAGACCAAGAAAATGTTTTGGAAAAAGTCAACTTACCCTCGTATACCTTCATGACATACGACATCAATTTCGATAACAATGCGCACATAACTCTAATCGTGGAATAGAAATACGTTTAAGCGGGACTACTTTTGACTTAGAACAAAAAAAATGTACAGAAATTGTTCCGTCTAATAAGATAACTCTAAGATGAATTACAGCAGCGTATCCCTTTTCCGAAGCATCCCCAAAACCGTGGAGTTCACATGATGAATAAGTAGCGGGAATAATTTTACGAGAAATGTGAAGCTCAGAAATTAGAGAAAGCTCAGAGGTATATTGTTGCCAAACTTTCATAATTTCATGACCCACGGGTTGATCCCAGTCATGACCGGAACACCAAAGCTGTTGAATAAGTTACTTAGTGAAAAAAGTAATAGGTGAAAGGTATCCAAGTGGATCAAAGACTTTGGCAAGTTCCGAAAGCAGGTGTCGTTTTGTGCAAGATCTAGTGATAGGTTGAACCCGAAATGAAAAACTAT